AAAGGTGCTACAAGATCTCTCTACATACCAGTCAAACCACGGTTAAGTACCGGAGCCAAGTCCTGGTGGTGAGATATAAAACAGTAAAATAAATCTGCCAGTTTTGAAAGTACAGAGAGGAAATCTACCTTAATCATGGTTTTCATGGTGCAGGTTTTGATCCTAATTCATGACATTTATATTCCAGCTTTCTCCCATGACTGATTCAAGGTGACATACAGAGGCTTCCCTGGCAGTCTCCCACCAAAGTTCTTCTCAGCAAGGCTGCTCTATTGCAGAGTGGAGCAAAGAAGTGGCAGCACACTTTGATTAGCAAGAATAATGGCCTGTCCCATTTAAGAACTAGGAAAAGTTACTTTTGGGGACTACAGGTCCCAACTGTCCTCCTATCCCCAGGGTAAGTAGCATTAAGAAAAAACTTTTCAAGCTCTGATCTCGCCTTCCAGTTCCCTCTGTGTGTAACTGCAATCCTCACAGTCGGTGCATGGAAGGTTTGGGGATGGGAAAAGTGAATTATGCCAGGAACACTGTGAAGTTTTCAAAGAAGTGGCCATGTTAGTCTTTTGCAGCATAAAAAGGAGGAAAGGAAGGTGAAAGAAAGGAATGTAGCAGCGCCTTTAAAACTAACTGGTTTTAATTTTAGCATGAGCTTTCATGGCTGTAAACCCACTTCTCTATACTGTCACATTTCTTTCCCCTCTCCCTCTCCCTTTCTCCTTTTTATGTGTGATTGTGGGTTATCCCTCTTGTAATGCAACACATGTTGAGGTGGCTTCGCCTTGAATGGGCAATTAAGATCTATTAACATTTCAAAAAACTTCCTCTTGGTGGAGAACTGTTAGAACTGGTTTGTTGCTATGGCTCAAAACAGTTGCCTTTGAAGGTTTTTATTTGAGGCTTACCTGTGGGGATCCCTACATCCTGCACTTCAAATTCACCAGTATACACCAGTGAGGTTCCTATACCACTAGGCTTCAGCTCCTGCTCTGTGAAAGCACCTGATGCAGGGAACTTTCCAAAGTAAAGTTGGGCTGGATCTCATCTATCAGTGTATGGGAGAGGCCACCTTCAAATGCCATCCATACATGCTGCCTTTTTGTTCCGCCATGGAAGAAAGCATTGCCACCACAGAACTTTCTTCCCCTTCCTTCCCCAATACAGCCATCTGTGCTGCCAAAAAGCAAACTCCAAGAGAATTCCCAATTCTCTCCAGCCAATTCTGGGGGTGCAGTGGCAAAGAAAGGCTCTCCCTTTCCTAGTTTTACCAGATTCCAGTATTCTGCCTGCAGATCCTGACCTATGCTTGTGGCCAACATGGCTACCATTGTGTTTTGTATGCTAACACTCCCGATTCCTTCATATCTCTGCAAACCGCCGGGATACATATGCATTCCTATCTCAAATTGCTCTTTGCACACATGTGCATATGGTCTGATCATGTTCTGGCAAGTAGGTGCCTCCTAATCTGCTTTCCCCCTTGTCTGTACACATGCAGGCATGCAAACAGGGATATAACATATACAAGCAGATCCTACAAACCCAATATCTTTTTTTAAAAGGAAAGAAATAAAGAGACAGACAGTCAGAGGAGCTTATGAATGACTCTTAATTGATGTTTCCAAGGCAGCACCCCTTTGGGCAGAGCAGCTGTGCTCTTTCCAAGCATGATCCCTCCCATTTTTCAGGCGTTGGCGAGACCGACTGGCGTCAGGTTACAGATCCAGGGGGTATTTATATTAATGTATGTTCTGGGGGAGAGAGAAGGGGAGGGAGGTTGGTGCTCCCCCTCCCTTTTGTTGCTAGAGAAAACAAATTAAGGAGGCCTGAAGCATGTCATCTGTTCTGTGAAATTTCCCTGCAAAGGATCAATCCCAGTCCTGAGGGCTCCAGCCCAAATCCTCTTGGCCAGATTTCAGGCTTGCTTGGTGCTCTGTCAGCCCCACTGACCCAGGTCAGGAAGGCCAGTGGCTGGAAAGTGAAGTGGGAGGTGGGTGACCTTGAACTTTCTTGCTGAGCCTGTGGATCAGAAACTCGATCTCTGGTCCCAGAGCTGGTCCCTGCAGTTAGGCGTTTTGTTTGGGTTTGTCGAAGGAGCTGCTGAGCTTTTTCAGTGTCTTTTTAATCCTTAAAGCTGTGAGTCTGGCCGGAGGGCTCTGGAACCAGCATTCTTTCATGATCTTAGCCAAGGCAGACAAAGTCTGGGAAAGGCAGAGGGAGAGCGTGAGAGAAGAGAATATTACTGTCATGTAGAAACAAAGCCCAGCCATATCATTCTAGGGAACTAGAATCTCATTACCCCCTCACCATTGGCTAAGCTGGCTAGGACTGATGAAAGTTGTAATTCAACAACATCTAGGAGACAAACACTCCTCCACCCCACAACTCTTGTGGAGACCATACTGGTCTATATGTACCCGAAGTTTCACTCAGTATGTATACCTTTCTGTAGCTTCAAGAAAGAACTGTCCTCTTTCATTTTATAAGGCCAAGAAAAAAGAAATTCTAGGGGGAGAAAAAATGCTGCACATAACTATGTGTGCAGCCAGGAAGCTAAGTTACGCAAGATCCTCTCCAAGGGGAGGGTCAGGAAGGGAAAAATTAATAATATTGCGTGACAGTCAATGTGACAGTTTGATATTTATTCCCTGACCTTCTTTTCTGAGGTTCCAGACTGGTTTGGGAGAGTTTTATCTTTGTAGACAAACAGTTGATGTAAGTAGTAATTTAAAAAAAAAAGTTTAGTAAGCTGGATGAAAGTTGGATGAGTTAGTGCTGTCTCTAAGTCACTGGGCCATCTAGAGACCTATCCATTATTTCTCAGGGGAAATGTCTTTAGAAGACTTTTAAAGCACTTAAGCAAGGCTTAAAGAATAGACCATGGCAGCCCCTGCAGCTGAACCTTGCCCTTTCAAGTCAAAGCCTATATGTATAGTGTGGGCATATGGGACATGACTAGGGTATCTTTTGCCATAGAGATGTTTGCCCTAGTTCAAAAGCTCCTGCAGTTCTTCAGCATTGGCTATAATGAGGCTACCATGCTTTTCTAGGCTCTCTAAAAGAGTGGAGAGTGTCTGATAGAAGTCCTCACTGTGAATGCATACACAGACCATGCGAATGCGCAGACCATGCCCTAAGGCAGGGGTAGGCAACCTTTCCCCTTTAAGGGCCGAGGGATTTCAGCTCCCAGAATCCCAGGAGCTATTGGCCAACATGGGACTATTGGCCAACATGGCTGAGACTTCTGGGAGCTGAAGTCCCTCGGCCCTTAAAGGGGAAAGGTTGCCTACCCCTGCCCTAAGAGGTGGAAAGGAGGATGAAGATGTAAATACTTCTGTTTGAAGATTGGTTGGGGTGGGGATTATGGATAGGGAAAAGGTGCTGCCTGGCAGCACCATATTTCAGGCAGAGTGCTGTCGCTGGTGCCATCAGGATAGGAAGAGGAAGGAAACCAAATTGTTGGACACAAGGAGGAAAGAATGTGTGACCCTCCAATGTTGTTGGTCTCCAACCTTCCTAGCTTAGTAGCCAATGGGGGAAGAATGTAACTGGAGGGATGCATGTTTGTAATCCTTGCTCTAATATTAGGGCATGTTCAAAACTTATTGGAATCATTCCTGCTTGCACTGGAGTGGTGCTCTGTCTTATTTCTTCACCCAGCAAACCAGAGAAACAGCCTATGAAAACCTGGTCATAGCTCCCTAACATACACTGTCAGTCTCTTAGTAGATGAATTTAGAGCTGCATTCTATTAGGAACTAGGTTCTCTGTATGGTTTTGTAACCACTGATCAAATAGTGTTGGTGGCAGTGTGTGTGTGTGCATAAATCTTTAAAGCAAATACAGTAAAATAAATAAAGCTGAAATTGAGCTGGGAAATGTTAGCAGTTTGGATGTGATCTACAGTTGCCCAAATCATGTAATAACAGTTGGCTGTAAGAAGTGTCACCAATTCAGGCCAAGACTTGGAACAGAATGTGCATTGTTTCCTTCTTCCTTTGTGGATTAAGCAGACTGGGGAGTAGCAAGTGTGGAAACTGCCTTTTGGAATCAGTTTTTGGATTTTTGCCCTTTCATTTGATACACTGTTTGGAATGCTTTTTATGCCAGATTTATGGACTTGCTAAAAAGGCTCAACTGTATGCACAGGTATATGGGTATGTTGTTGTTCAGTACCTTCAAGTTGTTTCTGACTCATGGAGACTTGGAGGTGAAACTCACATGGGGTTTTCTTGGCAAGATATGTTCAGAAGGGCCTTCCTCTGAGGCTGAAAGTGTGACTTGCCCAAGGTCACTCAGTGTGTTTCTGTGACTGAGCAGGGATTTGAACCCTGGCTTCCAGAGTCAATCCAGCGCTCAAAGCACTACACCACACTGGCTCATCATATAGTTGTGCTGGTATGTACTCTTAAAAAGTAACAATATGCAAACAAACATCTTTATAGGCCTGAAGTTGGCATGTGGCACCTATGAGAAACTGCTGGTGTCACAGTGCCCTGGCAGGACCCTGCTGCCACATTACATTTGCCCTGATGACTGAACATGAGTATCCCAGCATTTGGCTGGGTGACTGGACATCCCAGCACAGGCAGTGCTCATTCCAGTGCATGCTTTTTTGAAGACTCTTTGGATCCTGCAGTGAAACTTTTTTATTCTTTAATCTATTTCATGCTGAACTTGGGAAATTTCTTTTCTTTTCTTTTTTGGACTGCCGCTCCTTGACCCACCCATTCCTAATCCCTTCTTCCTGGTGTGAGCTGCACCAGAGGTTCTCTTAGGCCAGGATTCAGAATAGGCATTCAGCCTTGAAACATACTGGGTGTTCTTGGGCCAGTCAGCATTTCTTCCTCTAACTTAGCTTATATGATTGTGTTGTGAGAGGCTGGGATAAGCCCATGTTAATCTTACCTGGACCTTCAAAGATGTTGAACTCCTGCCTGCCTGCTTGTATTTACGGTATATCTGACTTATAAGGTAAGAAGGAGTGATGGGTGACTTAACCCAAAGAGGCTCAGTGGAGACTAGAACCTGAATCTCCCAGGTACCAGTCCAGTATCCTTAACTGCTATAACACAGTCATAAAAGAGTAAACTTTTCCTCCAATGATCCTTGTCTGCTAATTGCTTTTGTTTGAGCCAAGACCCTGGCAAGTGAGAAAGAAATAAGAAGTCCCTCCCTCCAGTCCATCTGCCTTGATTCAGGCTTCAGAGGGAGAGAAGATCTGCTGAACTTATTCCCCTTCTCCATCACAATTCCCTTCTCCTTTTGTGTCTTGTCTTTTTAGATTGTAAGCCTGAGGGCAGGGAAATGTCTAATTTACCATTTGTAAGCTGCTCTGATGGCTTTTTGGCTGAAGAGCGGGTACAAATACTACAAATAAATAAATAAATAAATAAATAAAGAGAACTTATCAAAAATTTTGCAAAAGCTTTTCATTTCAGAATCTCTTGCCTTTGTGGGTTGAGCTAACAGTGGCCAGGGTCAACGTTTCTAATCCTTTATAGAGCTCTTTTCATTTTTTTTTTAATGGCCTTGTTAAAGAATCACCTGCTAACCAGGAGCATGCCTGGGCTTGTCAGCATGAGGAAAAGCCAGATGGAATGGCCAGAATAACATATAGAAAGCAACAGTATTTTCTTTCTCTTCCCCACTGCCATGCATAGTTTCTTCTGCTGCTGTGAAGGGGTGAACACTGCTGCGCTGGAGTCTTATCATATGGCCACCCAAAGCCTTGGTTATCCTCCCTCTCACTTCTGAGATTCCACCAGGAACTACCCACATGTGTTTATGCCCTCTTATCTTCACAGCCTTCTCTTTCCAAGGTGTTTCCTCTCTTGCTGTGCTTCCTCCCTCCTCTTTAGTGAAATCGATGCTGAACTTTTCCTTGTGTTGTTTGCATTCAGTATCAAATCTTGCATTGGTACCACCTGTGACTACAGAAGCCGTGCCGTTTTGTTACGGTACAAATTCAAGAGCGCAACCCTATGCCTGGTTTGCCAGATTCCAACCTGAAAATCCACTCTGGCCATTAAAAATGAAGGCTTAAGTGGGAGTTTCAGTGGCAACAGTGCCTTCAACCTCTTCCTTTTTCTGTTTATTCCTCTACATCAGGGGTAGGCAACCTTTTTGAGCC